CACCAAATTTGGTGTAAACTTTCCGTATAGGGGTTATTTGGTGTCCTGATTACGAATATGACATTCATTCTGGCGCTATTTGGCGCCTATTTTCTGCTCGTCTGCGCTCTCCAACCGAGAAATATGCGTTAACGCCAAAAACGAATGTCATATTCGTAATCAGGGCACCAAATAACCCCTATACAGAAGTTTACACCGATTTTGGTGAAAACAAGGGTCGTGACAAGGTGACGCCAACTGGCGCCAGATGGCGCCACCGCTAAAAATGAATGTCGTTTTCGTAAGCATATCGAATTACCCCTATGGGCAAGTTACGGTTGTCTCTAGATGTACGCAAGTGCACTGCACCAGCGGAGGTGTTTTTACGTGATATCGGCGCGGGCTTATCTACCGGAAATTAGGGCACCTTCATTGGAGCATTGATCAACTTCTTACTAATCTTTTTTTTGTATCTAGTCACTGGTCGGCGTGTATGCTGAGCTACAACAAACTTACAGCCGTGCCGCTGAGGTGAAAGCTAGTGGGAAGAGACATCTTGGTTCGTACTTTCGTGTGCGATTCTTTGGTGAATACCATTCAAGGTGAGTAGTGAGCGCATGTGATCACTTCCTTTAGCTCAGTTCAATTCATATGGTCGAAGGTGCATCTCGTTCCTCACCAACTTCATTGTCATTGAGCGCTCCATACAAGGAAATTGCAAATTTGTGAAGCCCTTTACACATAGACGACGGCGCGGGACAGATACGTCCCGCACTTTCACACGGGGGCGATTCATTTTGGTAAAATTCTACCTCCATTGACGTGTTCTAAAACTGACGGCATGAACATATTATTGGACACCGTATAATGTACGCTTATCATTACATGAAGTTTTTGGTGAATTAATAACTAGAATGAAAAATTGAAAAAAAGAAATGGATATATGTGCACATAAGGGGTGTCGTCAGCTTGCCAAGCAAATGGCGGATATTGTTTGCCTGCGGCGAAATGGAAAATTAGCCTCTCAGATTTTTTCAATTTCTTCAGAAGAATGATTCAGATTTGAACATGGTACGGACTGGATTTATCGAGAAGCTGGTCTGGCATCCCTCGCAGAAGTGTCGTTGAGGTTGCGCGAATTCCATAGGCAGTTGATTGGCCATGATCGCATACAAGTTGGAGCCAGGATCAGAGGTATGCTCGGTTTTTATGGTACATCCTGTAAAACATGTCGCATGTAGATGGAGTATTAGTAAAGAAGGGAAGGAACGAAGTCATTTTGCCCAAGACAGAATATTTTGCGATAAAACGATATCATTCCTGATCCCAGACGCTCTCGAACATTCGCTAGGTAAGCAGAAGCATGTGCTTGTTCGTCGTACTCATCATCTTCAGTATGCCATTAATCTTGCTCAAGATCTACCGTTATCGCAATTCTCTCAATTTTATTATCAGTGGTAGAGTTTGGGGCTCTTGTAACTTGCAGTTCAGACAATATCCTTAACCCATGATCAGGGCCCGGAGAGGCGATAAGCTCGCCGCGGCGGGTGTAGCTCACTGACAGAAGCGACTATTGCGACAGACGCGCGAAGCCTATCTTTATGCTCGTGGAGGTCACGTCACTAGCCAGGCTGACCTGAGTTTTCCGTAGATGAAAAAGCTGCGCGCTGCGGAACGCGAAAAAGTCGCTTTCTTTCCCAGTGAATCACACCCGCAGCGGCTTACTGGAATAGGCTGGAGCCCTTCGAGAAAGCTACTTCGTTTGTGGAGTTGTTTTTGAAAAGGCAAGCATACTACGTTAATATCCATCCGATGTCAACCATCTGCCAGTCGTATTACCAGCCGTTAGATCGTGACAAACTTGCGTCCCAGCAAAAAAGGAACCTGTGCATGTCTTCTGGAGAACGCTGACTTTCTTGGAATCCAGTACTGAGCAAACTTAACAAGGTCAAAATTTCACAGTGTGTGATCTGACCAAAATCCGCGTTGCCGATTATGCGTGGAATCGTATAACTGAGGTTATTCCCGCTAAGCCTCGGACACGTCGCCACAATTTCCTTGGCAAATTCTTCTCATTTTGATGTGTTAATAAGTTTGAAGTGTTTCCTGCAATTGAAGGTGTCCTGAATTTCAGGGTAAAAATCGTGTGGAATTGTTACATTAGGGCAAAATTTTACTGACCTTGGATCCGGTTTCTATTGTGAACAATTCCTCAACCCCACGAATCTTCACTATGACGAATACGCTTTTTCAGTTGGCGAATTTTCGTAGCTTTCCATCTTCAAAAATAGTTGCCAATGTTTTTGGATTAGGAAATGTGTGGTGCTTAGCACGGACAATTCCGATTCTTGTGCCGCGTGCGCCACATTACGGTCCTCTATGGGGCAAATCGGCGTTGAAAACGGAGGTTAGCGTGACTTTTTGCCCCCCCCCTCCCTCCCCCTTCCCTTTATAGGGTAGCTGATGGGCGTTGGAAGGGTTGTTTTGTCTGATGTGCGGTGTGGCAGGGTATTTTGGCCGGTGCTGATGGATATTGCACATTACATTTCTTTTAGTGCTTCTTCCTGAAGTGATAGGTGTATAGCAAAGCACCCATGACATAATCTTGAAAAACTGAAAATTAATATTTAACAATTTAGATTCAGTATCAAGTGCTCAGTTGATTCTACTCGCAACTATGTGCATCATTACTTAAGCTGATTCACTCAGTTATATGTTTTCAACAGGCTTCAACTGTTACAGATAGACACTACATCTTTGGATCCATCGGTTGCCTATATATGGGTCAATCATGTGGAACCTGCAGTTGCCGAAGGTCATACGCTCAAGCATTTTAAAACGCACACTAATATCAGGTACATATTTGGACTACATATCTAAAAAGCTTATGTTCTATTTGCGAGTTTCTCAAGCGCTGCTGGACATAATAATAACTCGGAGCTGAATTTTTCTTGAGGCGATCTCGATGGGTGTGTGTTTTTCGGGTACCCCTCAGGAGGCCCGTCGCGCGACAAGAAGGCGAGTCAGCGGACGAGTCCGCGCGTACTGTAGGGATTTCGCGTCAAGTTAGAATGTTCCATTGTACGTCCTACATCGCTCACGCGCTGCGACTCGTCCGCGACTCTGCCTTCTTGCCGCGCGACGGGCCTCCTGGGGGGTACCCGTGTTTTTCAATGAGGAATCGAACAGAGAAGCTTCTTATAACAAAGCTTCTCTGTTCGATTCCTCATTGAGCTTCTCTCACTGTACCCCAATTCACGATGGATAGGCCGCGGCTTATCCACCATGCGGGCAGATACACACAGGGCAGGCTTGTCTGCCGTAAATAAGGGCAGTCGTTAAGGGCACATTACGCTTTTGAATTGCATTCAGTGTTCATTTTATCTTCCATTGCCTTTGTGAATCGTAATTAGAAACTTAGTAACATAAACGTGACGTCTAATAGATATTAACGGCCATCACTTTATACACTGGAACCAGAAGGAAATCGGTCGGAGATTCCTCAATGACCCGTCGATTTTTTCGCCTGTTCAGTCACACTCTCGCGCGGACATTCACTCTCGCCATGCGCGAGCCGTCTGTGCTCTCCGCGCGTATGTTCACTCTCGGCACTACTCTCGCATGGTAGAGAGCTATGGTCGAGGATTCCTCGACCGTTATTCACCCTGCTGGTACCTCTGCATACAGCAATAGCGTAGACTTGTTGACCAAGCTGATTGTTCATTCAGTTTCTCCGTACAACTTCCATCTGACCTAGTAACTGAAGACGTGTCAATTCTGGAAGTGGATTGCGGATAGCGCAA